ACAGATTGGGATGGGCGATGGCTGCCAAAGCGGAGATCGTCGTTGGGGACGCGAAGGACATCATGGCCGTCAGGCGACTGTGGAGGGAATTTGGGTTCAAAGGGACAGTCAAGCCTAACGGCGAGCTTCCTAGTGAGACAGCTTCTGAGTTGACTAGGCTTGCGGTGAGTACATATTTGAATGTGTGAAGGTGTTAGAGGAGGATGGATGGCTTTTTTTTAGAGGGTTAATCGTAGTTTATGGTTCGGAATTGGAAGAGATCCTATTATGTTTTGTTGGGTTGTTGGATGAATATGAATGATATATTATTATGAATGAACGAGTGATTGGATGCAAATTATTGCTCTTGCTATCTGTTGGTATTGGTCAATCTTTGATTTCAATTGTCAACTGGATTCAAGGATATTTTGTATGGTTAGATAATAAGTAAAAGGCACCTTGAGTTAAACTTGTCCATATCTCTGTCAAACACATCTTCATTACCAAAGAAGATCATGGTAAGTTCAGGTTGAATTCGGTGGAGAATGTCATGTGAGTTAATAATTCCGATGCATATAATTTGTACTTCCATTTCTTGAAGTTGCAGGAGTGTAAATGTGTAATAGTACCCTTTCTAATGCTTGCCATGTTGAAGTGAAACAATAAAAAGGAAGCCCTGGTTAACTTGTTGCTTTTCTGCTCAATCGTCTTTTAGCTAATTTCCTTAGAATCACACTCCTACTCTAGTTTCCTTGTCTATTGAATTTCAGTTGCCACCTCGTGAATAATAAGTGGTTGTTGTAGAAATGTTCATATTCCTTTGCAACACAAGTAACATATTAGTTGTCCACTTGTCTTGCTGGTCTGCCTTGTAATAATTTTATTTGGATATACGAAGGGAAGTTGGTGCAATTGGACGTGATCGATGTACCAGGGTAGCTGGGAGAGCATGCAATTTCTGCATGACTTCTATCTAGTTATATTTAGCAATTTTTGTCCCCGACGTGTACTAAAAAAGAAGAGAAGGTGCTTCCCCGGCGTTGACATATATCGGCGGCCATTTGCAAGAACTTCGACTCCAACGAGTATTGTGGCGGGTGGGCTTTCTTCGATCTGTGAGGGTTGGTATTTAATCTCTTCCTTTGTTTTTAAGTTCTGATCCTTACTTACTTACTTGAGTTGCTTCTTTGTACCTTTCCACAGGATGGTTGATGCTGCAGGAGGAGGAGGTGACCCAGGGCTGAAGGCTTTCAGTTCCGCTGCCAAGCTTGTTGACTGCTTGGAGATGTTGATCGAGAATCCGGTGTGGAGGCAGACGATCAAGATCGCGGAGGCGAGGCTGCTGAGAGACAGATTGGGATGGGCGATGGCTGCCAAAGCGGAGATCGTCGTTGGGGACGCGAAGGACATCGTGGCCTTCGGGCGGCTGTGGAGGGAATTTGGGTTCAAAGGGACAGTCAAGCCTAACGGCGAGCTTCCTAGTGAGACAGCTTCTGAGTTGACTAGGCTTGCGGTGAGTGCATATTTGAATGTGTGAAGGTGTTAAAGGAGGATGGATGGTTTTTTTTTAGAGGGATAATCGTAATTTATGGTTCGGAATTGGAAGAGATCCTATTATGTTTTGTTGGGTTGTTGGATGAATATGAACGATATATTATTATGAATGAACGAGAGATTGGATGGAAATTATTGCTCTTGCTATCTGCTGGTTTTGGTCAATCTTTGATTTCAATTGTCAACTGGATTCAAGGATCTTTTGTATGGTTAGATAATAAGTAAAAGGCACCTTGAGTTAAACTTGTTCATATCTCTGTCAAACACATCTTCATTACCAAAGAAGATCACGGTAAGTTCAGGTTTAATTCGGTGGAGAATGTCATGTGAGTTAATAATTCCGATGCATATAATTTGTACTTCCATTTCTTGAAGCTGCAGGAGTGTAAATGTGTAATAGTACCCTTTCTAATGCTTGCCATGTTGAAGTGAAACAATCAAAAGGAAGCCCTGGTTAACTTGTTGCTTTTATGCTCAGTCGTCTTTTAGCTAATTTCCTTAGGATCACACTCCTACTCTAGTTTCCTTGTCTATTGAATTTCAGTTGCCACCTCGTGAATAAGAAGTGGTTGTTGTGGAAATGTTCATATTCCTTTGCAACACAAGTAACATATTAGTTGTCCAATTGTCTTGTTGGTCTGCCTTGTAATAATTTTATTTGGATATATGAAGGGAAGTTGGTGCAATTGGACGTGATCGATGTACCAGGCCAGCTGGGAGAGCATGCAATTTCTGCATGACTTCTATCTAGTTATATTTAGCAATTTCTGTCCCCGACGTGTACTCGAAAAGAAGAGAAGGTGCTTACCCGGCGGTGACATATATCGGCGGCCATTTGCAAGAACTTCGACTCCAACGAGTACTGTGGCGGGTGGGCTTTCTTCGATCTGTGAGGGTTGGTATTTAATCTCTTCATTTGTTTTTAAGTTCTGATCCTTACTTACTTACTTGAGTTGCTTCTTTCTACCTTTCCACAGGATGGCTGATGCTGCAGGAGGAGGAGGTGACCCAGTGCTGAAGGCTTTCAGTTCCTCTGCCAAGCTTGTTGACCGCTTGGAGATGTTGATCGAGAATCCCGTGTGGAGGCAGACGATCAAGATCGCGGAGGCGAGGCTGCTGAGAGACAGATTGGGATGGGCGATGGCTGCCAAAGCGGAGATCGTCGTTGGGGACGCGAAGGACATCGTGGCCGTCGGGCGGCTGTGGAGGGAAGTTGGGTTCAAAGGGACAGTCAGGCCTAACGGCGAGCTTCCTAGTGAGACAACTTCTGAGTTGACTAGGCTTGCGGTGAGTGCATATTTGAATGTGTGAAGGTGTTAAAGGAGGATGGATGGGGTTTTTTTAGAGGGATAATCGTAGTTTATGGTTCGGAATTGGAAGAGATCCTATTATGTTTTGTTGGGTTGTTGGATGAATATGAATGATATATTATTATGAATGAACGAGTGATTGGATGGAAATTATTGCTCTTGCTATCTGTTGGTTTTGGTCAATCTTTGATTTCAATTGTCAACTGGATTCAAGGATCTTTTGTATGGTTAGATAATAAGTAAAAGGCACCTTGAGTTAAACTTATCCATATCTCTGTCAAACACATCTTTATTACCAAAGAAGATCACGGTAAGTTCAGGTTTAATTCGGTGGAGAATGTTATGTGAGTTAATAATTCCGATGCATATAATTTGTACTTCCATTTCTTGAAGCTGTAGTAGTGTAAATGTGTAATAGTACCCTTTCTAATGCTTGCCATGTTGAAGTGAAACAATCAAAAGGAAGCCCTGGTTAACTTGTTGCTTTTATGCTCAGTCGTCTTTTATCTAATTTCCTTATGATCACACTCCTACTCTAGTTTCCTTCTCTATTGAATTTCAGTTGCCACCTCGTGAATAAGAAGTGGTTGTTGTGGAAATGTTCATATTCCTTTGCAACACAAGTAACATATTAGTTGTCCACTTGTCTGGTTAATTAGGTTTAGTGTCAATCCCCTATAAATAGCCTTTTTTCGATGAATTCGTTTTATAGTGAAAAACTTTGGAGAGCATAACATCTCTCGTGGATTAGTCTTGATCGGGGATACCACACGTTAAATCCGTTGTGTTCTTTCGACTAAGCTCGTACTAATTGTCAAAAAAATCATGTAAACACATGTGCATTCGTATTAACTGACATAATGCACTGCCTGTCCTTGAGGAATCTTATTCTGCTCTTGTACCCAATGTTATAGAATGATTATTCCCAAGATATAAAGGACAGACCTTTTCGAGTGTAGTGCCACCTCAAACTCCAAAAAATAACGAACATAGTGAATTAGCGAGAACCACATTTACTCAATTTTTCTTTTGGAAAGAATGTTGAAAGTCAATTGTGGATTTTAGGAGAGTAGAGTTTCATAAGGAAAAATTATTGTGTCTAAGACGAGAGGGGTTTGGTCCTTTTATAATAAAAAAAATGAAGGGGTTTGTGCGAAGGGAGGGTGATCTTTGAATGGGTGGGTACACCCCAACTATTGCATTGGCTTGTCTAAAAGTTTTCACCATTGCATCGGTTCAACCCATAGTAGTTGAAACGAGCCGTTTATTCCAACCACATCGGTTTGGTTGAATTGGTTACACTAACCAATCTAACCAATTACCAACGAATTTACAAATCGACCAAATTCAAGACTGTGTCTTCTCACATCTCAACAATTTTTGGTTCTTTCTCGTTTCATTCTCATTCATACCATTTAAAATCACAACAAGCAACGAGGCAGTTCTTACTGGTCTGCCTTGTAATAATTTTATTTGGATATATGAACGGAAGCTGGTGTATTTATTCGTACTTAGACGGTATAATTTGTATATGGACTCTCCTTTTAACTTCTTTTATGGTCAGGGGCAAAGATGAAGATGGCATTGGGGATAGGGCTGTTAATGAGCCAACCCGCTCATGAACGACTCGACGTTTGATTCGATAAAAAATCGCCTGATTAAGAAAAAGCTCGGCTCGTTTATTAACGAACCGATTTCGAGATAAGCCTTGTTCAGTTTGCGAGGCTCGTGAGTCAACTCGACTAGGTGACTTCTTGACCTCAACTAGTGAACTCTCTTGTTTTGAGTTCATGAGTTGTCTCAGCATTGTGATCAGTGAGCTAACTCGACTATCGGTTTATGATAAAATGATATGTATCATATGAGTTGACTTGTTGATAAATGATAATTCATAAGTTTATTGAATTGTATGTCTGGCATGTTTCAGATTATGAGTATGTAAGTAAATATATCTCATATATAACATGAAATCATTTAATCACATGTATCATATAATATTAATTTAATTTATAAATTATCATAGAGTTCAACTCCATAAAAACTCGGGTAATTATCATAAATGGTCACAAACCTATTCACTTTATACAAAACGGTCACAATTCTTTAATTTTACACGTTTCAATAACAAAAGTCTGAACGAATAACAAAGAGGTCAATCCATCCACTTCCGTCCAAAAATCTGTTACTATTGTCTAATCAGTAATCAGCATGACATGTTATTAAATATAATAATAAAAAAATAATTTCATTATTTGAATTAACTCTACAACCCTAACCGGTTCAATAGCTCGGTTATGTACCGACCTGGCCGATTCCTCCGATTTGGCTATTAGCAGTAGCGACAGACAGGCCGCAACAGCAGGCGTCGTCGTTAAGGGAGAAGAGCAAACTTGACTGGCGGTGGGGTTCTAGGGTGCGCTGGAAAAGAGAGAGGTAGAGGCGCAACGGGGTGGGAGGAATTGAGGTGACTTTGTTGTTTTTTATTTCGGGAGAAATCAGAGGAGCTCGCTGTGGTGGAGCGGCGGCGGAGTGGTGGAGAAGAAGGCGTCGAGGAAGCGGTCGGAGGAAGGTACAATTCAGAGTTTCTCACCATGTGATTGTCAATGTGATAGCGGACTGCCTCTGTAACGCCATAAGATATCATATTCAAGGTGAAACCCAAGAAAATTTTGCACCACAGAGTCTCTGCTATCTGCAAATAGGGTCTTCATCGTTGCAATCTTCAGCAATGGGCTTGTCATCAAACCTCCAATCTAGCTTCAATTCACCAACGCAAGTCAGAATTCTATGATGACCATCAAATTAATTACGAAATGAAAGTGAACTGCCTTCTAGAGACTCCGATTCTTCTCCAACACTCCACCGCCGCTCCACCGCGAGCTCAATGACGACATCTTCTCCACCGTCGACTTCTCCTCCGATTCCTCCCGAAATCAACAACAATAAAGCCACATCAATTCTTCCCACCGCTGCGCTGCTGGGAGAGATCTCGGCTCTCCTCAACTCTTATTCCCCTGTTGTCCCAACCGCCTCTTGCAACATAGCTCTCCTCTTTCCTTGGCGGAGCGGCGCCTCTCCCTCTCTCTTTCTCCAGCGAACCCTAGAACTCTACCGCCTATCGACTCCTACGGCCAGGTGGGTACATAACCGAGCTATTGAACCGGTTAGGGTTGTGGAGTTAATTCAAATAAATAAATTATTTTTATTAATATATTTAATGACATGTCATGCTGACTAGGCAAAAGTAACGAATTTTTGGACGGAAGTGGACGGATTGACCTATTTGTTATTTGTTCAAACTTTTGTTATTGAAACGTGCAAAATTAAAGAATTGTGACCATTTTGTACAAAGTGAATAGGTTTGTGACCATTTATGATAATTAGCCATAAAAACTCCTGATTTTAATGATTACAATTGTATGTTGAACAAGGTGTAATGACTTCGGGATTTTTATAAGTCTGCTTTGTATTAAGAAATAGCGGACAATAACCTGGAGAGAGATGGGTCGAAGCGGAGTTAAACTCTCTTGGGCCCGGTTCCTCCTGCACTGAATTGGCCCTGAATAAAAGGCCCAACCGAAGAAATCCATCTCCGGGAAAACCCTAACGCAGTCAGAGAAGTGATAGCTAGCAAGCATAGAAGCGCACAGAGAGTAAAACCTGGCTGAGTGCTGACCATCATCTTCACCCAGTCGTCGAGTCTCTTCGTTGCTGCCTTGCCTTCTCTGCTCTTTCCCGCCGCCATGAAGGTTCGCATTCCCGCTTTCAGAAATTGCTTTCCTAGGTCTTACTTTGCGACTCTCCATCTTAATCTCTGTTCTTCCTCCGTTTGATTTGATTGGCAGTTCAATATCGCCAACCCCACAACTGGGTGCCAGAAGAAGCTGGAAATCGATGACGACCAGAAGCTGTAAGCTATTTTCCTCATCCTCTTCTTCTTCTTCTTCTTCTTCTTCTTGTTTTTTCGTTGTCTACGATTTGCTTTCTGAATGTTAGATTAGGTAATGGCACCGTTTGTCATTAAGGTGAAGCATGAAACAATAGCTTTGATTTGGATAAACCTGTTTGAATCATAAGCGAATGGGTATTGACATAATATATCTAGCTTTTGGAGAATACGGTTGGCGTCGACAGTTGTTCTGAAAGCTTCTTAGCTCCATTTGCTTGTGTACACGATCTGGGTTTTTTTTTGGTTGTAATCAGAGAAGGTGTAGAATTGATTTCTGTTAAATTGAATAGTAACGAGCCGGGGAAATGGTAACGAATTTCTGTAGGTTATTATAAGGCGTCCCTTGCTGTTTCTCCTGCTACTGATTTTACTTGTCAGGGAAGCAAAGAGAACCGGGTATTATTGTGTCATTGTTTCTGTAGCTTAAACAGTGGATGGTGGTTTTTCAGGTAGTTTGCCTGGTCTTTTGTAGGTTAATATAAATATCTACAGCTGTAACTGATATCGATTATAGTGTTCAAATCTGCCGAATGCTTTAGTTCGGCCAATTGCCTAATTAACTGTGAAGGATTGTGCTAATGGAGTCTAATGTAGTAGATAGTTAGTTAGTGAAACCCTTGCTTCGATTCTTGTTACACCAAATGTATGTATGCATGTTGGTTACGTGTTACTCACTTGTGCAGGCGTGCCTTTTTTGACAAGAGAATCTCTCAGGAAGTCAGCGGTGATGCCCTTGGAGAGGTATTTATGTGATATTTACTGTTCTTGATGCTTGTATTCACCTTTGAAATGTTCATTGTTAATTCTTTTCATCTGTATATGTAATGACAGGAGTTCAAAGGCTATGTGTTCAAGATCATGGGAGGTTGTGACAAGCAGGGGTTCCCCATGAAGCAGGGAGTGTTGAACCCTGGTCGTGTCCGCCTTTTGCTTACCCGAGGTAGGAGGTCCTTATTCTTCATAGTCCGACTGTTGTGTCATACGTTGATGAATGTGGACTGTCTACTCTTTTGAAACACTTATGGTTATAAAGTTAACTCTTTTCTTGGTTGCTGAGAAGAAATGCGCTTAACTTTGTGGTAACAGGAACCCCATGCTTCCGTGGATATGGTAGGCGCAATGGTGAGCGCAGAAGGAAGTCTGTTCGTGGTTGCATTGTCAGCCAAGATCTTTCTGTTCTCAACTTGGTCATTGTGAAGAAAGGTGAGAGTGATCTCCCTGGGCTGACCGACACTGAGAAGCCAAGAATGAGAGGACCAAAGAGAGCATCCAAGATCCGAAAGCTTTTCAATCTGTCAAAGGACGACGATGTCAGGAAGTATGTGAATACCTACCGCCGAACTTTTACCCGGAAAAATGGGAAGGAAGCGAGCAAGGCTCCTAAAATTCAGAGGCTCGTGACTCCATTGACCCTGCAAAGGAAGAGAGCAAGGCTGGCAGAGAAGAAGAAGAGAGTTGCAAAGGCCAATGCTGATGCTGCCGAGTACCAGAAGCTCCTTGCATCGAGATTGAAAGAGCAGAGAGATCGTCGCAGCGAGAGCTTAGCCAAGAAGCGGTCCAGGTTGTCTGCTGCTTCCAAACCTTCTGTGGTTGCTTAAGCCAACTGGGGTTTTGTAGGGATGCCAAACTTTTTTGTTCTTCGTAATTGTGTTCCCTGAGAGTTTTGGTATCAACAGTAGGCTAGGCATGAAGTTTGATTTGTGTTACTAGAGTTGGTTTGATATCCTTGAATACATCACTCACGAACTCAATCTGAATGCTTGCAACTCAAAATTTCTGTTCTAGTAACAGAGATTGTAGTAGAACCAAGAACTAAACTAACACTGATCTTTCATAAATCATAATGATTGTGGTGAGGAGATCTATTTGGCTTAGATGATGAACATCCACTTCAAGACCGAAAATTATATCAATTGCAATCTCGATTGTATATCAGTAAATATAACACCGAAACAAATACCACAGATTCAACCCCGAAGAGAAACAAGTTACAACAGAACAAACCAGAAAACAACTCTAGGAGAAGACAGTCCTAGACTTCTCTAACACCCAGGAAAAAAGAGAAACTAAGGACAGAGATGAACCCAAGCACACCAGGAAAAAAGAAAGGAAGGATGCAATAATCTCCCAATCAAAACCCTTCAGAACCACCATTTATTCAGTGGATGCAGCAGCAGCAGCAGCAAGTATCGTCTCCCTACGATGTTTGAAGTAAGCAAACAACTCTTCCCTCCCAGAAAGATTGTTCTTAATTACAGGTGCTTCGTTGAACCTTTTGACCCAACCATGGAGCAGAGGAAACTTCAGGGGATCGATCACTTTCAATCCGGTACAATCCTCAATCCCATTAAGCCGTAAGTAAGATCCACCATGTTGACCTTGTCCCCACCGAAAAACTCCTTCTCCTTGAGCGATCCAAAAGCATGTTCCTCGAGAATTTCCATCACCTCCAACGCCTCCTTCACCGCCTTCTCTTGCTCTTCCCCTGAAGTCCTGAATATCATGAAGGCAGGGACCAGCTTCTCCTCGGCGAACTTGATCCAGAACCGAGCGAGGGCTCTCTCGTGAGGATCGGCGGGCAACAGTGGGTATGTTTCAGGCCACGACTCGTCCAAGTACTGGAGGATTATCATGGATTCAGAAATGGGTTTTCCGCCATGGATTAGGACTGGAATTTTCTTGTGGACGGGGTTGGATTGGAGGAGCAGGGGACTTTTGTTGAACAGGTCTTGCTCGATGTACTCATAGTCTATTCCTTTCAGCTTCAGTGCCCAGATTACTCTGTAGCTGAATGGACTAGGCCATGTTCCTAGGAGCTTAACATCTGCCATTGTTTCTTTCTTTCTTCCGGTTAAGATTTCTGTTTCTGTTAATGGTTTTGGGTCCTATTTTTATAGTGATGAAATTTCTTGGACAAGAAGTTATGGATCTGCTGGAGAGTGAAATGAGGAAGAGATTTCAGATTTTTCTGTTCTGGGTCAAAGGAATAGCAGGTAGAGTATTGGGTTTTTGGAATTAGTTAGTTCCATGCATGGCGTCATGCATGATGATGATAGGGGCTAATGATCAGTGGACTCATAGTGCCAAGTAAAACTGGGGCAGACCTTTTTTCCCTATAATATTCAAGGAAATAGAAGACCTAAGACCTTGTATTTTGGATTGATGCCCACGTTACTGAGAATTGTCACCTACCCTTCTTTCGGGTTAATTGCAAGATTGGTCACTGAGATTACTAAAAAAGCTCATCTTTGGTCACTGCAAATATTTAATTTCATTAGTGGTCACTGTGATTACTTAAAACGTCCAAGTTTGGTCACTCTCCGTTAACTTTCGTTAGTCTCCATTAACGGCGTCAGTTTTCGCTGACGTGGCTAACAAAAATATCCAATCATCCAATTTTAAACCCGACCCGCCACGTCATTAAACCCGCCACATAAGAAACTCAACCCCAACATCTCAACCCACCCAACACAACCCTTTTACCTTCTTCTTCTGTATGACTAGATTGATAAAAACCCTTATCCCCAAAATCCCAGAAACTCTTCCGCCTCCTCGGCACTTGCCTTCTACTTCTCCCTCTCTTCCAACATCTTCATGCTCGCCAACTCCAATCGAACACCCTCTGTTTGAAGGTTTGCAAGGAGGGCACTTTCAATTTTCTATTTAGAAATTCCCAAAGATTTCCCAAACATCCTCTTCTCTTCTCTATATAAACCACTATCCATGTTTATCCATTTCTCGGAATCAAGGAATTTTAGATCAGACAATACAACAAATCTTAGCAGCAATCTTAGAATAAAAAGAAACGATGGATCTCCGATTCGTGGGATTCGACGACCCACTCCTCCAGACCCTATAACACATGATAGACACCATGGGAGAGGAGCCAGATGCGAACGTCACCGGCACCGCAGCAAGTCCTCGTCTTCACTCTTCTGCAGTGAACGCGCCGACAAGGACGTACGGGAGGAATGCCAAAGCGATGATGGCGATTCCTGCAAGCGTAAAGGAGTACCCAAATGCCTACGCGTTCATAATCGACATGCCCGGGAAGACGGCAAGGGAAGTGCAACGATTAAAGTCCGAGACCCTTAATTTTGTCAATCTGCCTGGCGATTAAGCTCCGGGATGGAAGGACAGCGACGAGCAGCATATAGATCTTATCATATATGTATTGCCATTCTATTTTGTATTACAGTAACTAATTATATTATTTATTACAATACTTTATTATTACACTAAAGAAGAAAGAAAAGGGGGAGTTTTTGAGGAGGGGTGTTGGGGTGGAGAGAGACCAGAGTAGATATTTTTTTAGGTTGAGTTGGTCAAGAAGGGTTTGGTTATGGGTTGGGTGGATTATCTTAAGTGGCTTGTTTTAATGACGTGGCGAGTCAGTATATGCCTATTAGACATTTCTGTTAGCCACGTCAGCGAAAAACTGACGCTGTTAATGAAGACTAACGAAAGTTAACGAAGAGTGACCAAACTTGGACGGTTTTAGTAATCTCAATGACTATGAAAGGAATTAAGTATTTACAGTGACCAGACGTGAACATTTTTAGTAATCACAGTGACCAACCTTGCAATTTACCCCCCTTCTTTCATATGGTAGGACTCAATGACACCTTCTTGATTGGAGGGGGAAATGATGAAGAATATGAGATTTGCGCATGAAACCTTAGTTATAGTCTTAATTATTGTTTCTACCAGTAAACTATAACCACTTATGTTGAGTAAGATTACCTTCAATTACATAGATTAAATTCTGACTTCTACATGAGTAAACCTAACACAAAACAAGACCCCTACTCAATAAAATTGTGAAAGACAGAATCTCTTTCCCTCAAACATGGCTAGTATGCCTCTTGCCTCCACCATCCCCTCTCATTAGGCGTTTGTCGCCCATCTATGATTTTCGGTGTGATTGTAATTTAACTCGCTACAAAATTCAAATAATTTACTATTTGGTTCACTGAAAGTGAAGACCTTGATCCTTAACAATAAGTTCACAGAAGACAACACATGTCAATTTTTTTTATCTTTTCTCGACAATTTATCGTTTCCGTTATTATTGGCTATAGTCGTTGCTATAGAGCTCTCGAAATTTTCGTAGAATAGCCCGAGTAACCCAAGACATCACTTTTTTTTTCTCCTACTCACATATCTAGTTGCATAGCTCTTATCTATGAAAAAGTCATATAGATGCACAAAAATAGTGGAGTTTTTGTAGAATCTTCATGAGCCACAACAACTTAAAGATAGATTCTAAAAAATACTTAAAGTAATATCAAATACCCTCGTTTGAAAACTTATAAACATTGTCTTAGAGCGACAATTTCTTAAAACCACAGCATACACTATAACCATCAATACAATAACAAAAGAACTTCCAAAAAGAACAACCATAAAACAATCTCAAGGGCAATACAATCCTGAGAAACATGAAATGTCAGTATGCCATGTAATCCATTCTCTCAAATGGACCAACCCATAAACCCCATACAATACACAAAAGAAAAAAGACACATCCAATACAACCTTGAGATCAGAAACCTCGTTTCTTCAGTTGGATTTTGCAGCAGCAGCAGCAGCAGCAGCAGCAAGCAGCATCTCCCTGCGACGTTTGTAGAAATCAACCAGCTCTTTCCTCCCAGGAAGATTATCCCTAATCACAGGCGCTTCATTGAATCTCTCAGCCCAACCACAGAACAGGGGAAACTTCAGGGGATCGATCACTCTCACCCCGCTACATTCCTCAATCGCATCGAACCAACGACCCATTACGCCATAAGCAAGATCCACCATGTTCACCTTCTCCCCGCCGAAGAACTCCTTCTCCTTGAGCAACCCAAAAGCATGTTCCTCGAGAATTTCCATCAACTCAACCGTCTCCCTCACCGCCTTTCCCTGTTCCTCCCCTGAAGTCCTGAATACCATAGAGGCAGAGTTCAGCTTCTCCTCGGCGAATTTGATCCAGAATCGAGCCACGGTTCGCTCGTGGGGATCGGCGGGCAGCAACGGGTGGGTTTCGGGCCACGACTCGTCTATGTATTGGAGGATTGTCATGGATTCGGAAATGGGGTTTCCGCCATGGATTAGGACTGGGATCTTCTTGTGGACAGGGTTGGATTGGAGGAGCAGGGGAGATTTGTTGGATAGGTCTTGCTCGATGTACTCGTAGTCTATTCCTTTCAGCTTCAGTGCTAAAATCACTCTGTAGCTGAATGGACTGGGCCATGTTCCTAGGAGCTTAACATCTGCCATGGTTGTTTTTCCTTTCTTTCTTTGGGGTTGGGATTTCTGATGTGTTTGTGCTGAATGGGTTTGGGGATGGATTGATTTTTATAGTGATGAGATTGCTTGAACAGGAAGGTAGGGAAGCTGCTATGGAGAGTGAGAAGAGGGAAGGGATTTCAGATTTGTATACTCTGCCTTAGGTCAGAAGAACTGGCTGCATGGGACTTTATGACGTCATGCATGATGAAAGATGGGGTTAATGATCAATGTACAATTAGTAGCCAAGTAAAGCAGTTTTTCCCCTATCAAAGGAAATATATGACCTAAGACCTTATGTCAATTATCATTATATGTTACATTTAGGATTTTTCTTTTCTTGTGGAATGTATTGCGTAATTGTATTTAGGATGCATGCCTATGTTTATGAGTTTTTTCACCTACTTTTCGAGAAAGTCACTAGTTAAAACTAGTTATTTTTAGAGGCTGCCAAAACTCACCTTCTCCGATATCCAAGACACCACGTTAGGGATGGCAATAAAGCGGGGTTGTCTAAATCATCTCCATCCCCATCTTCAAATACCCAAACCCATACCCGCCCAATACCCATGCAGGAATATTTTGCAAACCCATCCCCATACCCGTGGGTTTCGGGTACCCATGGGTAATACACATCTCGTACATCCAACATTATTATACCTAAAACTTACAAGAAAAGTTTTAATTATAACCATAAACAAACCTATTATATCATGAAGTCAACAAAACACAGTCATTTTCTAAATACGATTCAAAGAATATGATCCTAAAACATCCATTAATGCATAATATAGACTACAATATTTTTTAAATTATTATGCTCTAACTCTTGATACATTTACTAAGTAATAATTAACTAACATAATCTTGTTGACAAGGGGGAAAGTGAAAGAGTGGAAGGAGAATTGAGGGAAATGAATTAGATTTTGATTAAGGTGGTTACTCAATTGCATTTCTACTATTTATTTTCTTGAGTTATCATCATCATTGATAGATTACAGTTTAATCCACATATTTTTTGATATGGGAAGAAATTATCTTGGTGGGGCGGGTATGGGGCGGGGGAGGCTAAAACCATACCCGCCCCATACCCATCAAACTTTTTGCGGGTTTTACCCATACCCGCCCCATACTCGTTCAAAGCGGGGATTTCCCGCGTTGACTGGGTCGGGGGCGGTCGGGTACCCGCGGCCATGGGTTTGATTGCCATCCCTACACCGCGTCATAGAGAATAGGAATGAAATGATGAAGACACAATGGGGAGGAGAGGAAGAAGAAGAAAGAGAAATTATTGATAGTCGGTAACGCGAGAGCAGAGGATATCGACGCGGTGGCTTCTTATAGGAGTGATTTGAATTCATAAATTAGGAAATGGGACAATTTGGTAATTGTCTCGTTTTACAATACGATTCTTTTAAAATGAATGAATTCAAATTACCTCTCATGTCCCAGACAATTATTTTTGCCTAAAAACGAGTCAATTCGAACTTATTCGAACTAAATTATTTTTTCCGTATTTTAAATTGTCGGACAATTCAAACTTCAATTCCAATTATTAAGTATTTCGTATGAAGTTATTTCTTGTCACATATATACCTCAACTTCCTGTAACAAAAGAAGATGATTAGGTAACAGAAACAAAGAAAATGAAAGAAGTAGAAGATATAGGTATGTATCTCTTCAAAATTGTTGGCGGGAGAGTGAAGTGGATCAAACAATAACATCCGGCAGCTCCATCTCACCGCCGGCCGCCGGCGAATTCTCCGCTCATAGGTACTTAAACACCATCTTGGCGTACTCCGGGCTCCACATATTGTTCTTCACATACTCCACAATCTCATCGTCGTCCAGCCGCTGCAGCTCCCTCGCTTTCGCCCTTCCCCTGTACCCTTCCGCCACATCCTCCTCAATCGCCTCCTTCACCACCGCCGCCGCCACTTTCTCCGTTATCTCCCTAACCCTCGATATCTCCGGGTACACTATCCCCTTCCCCAATTCCTCCTCCGACGCGCATCCCGCCAGGCACTCCGCCGCCGCCTGCAGCATCCCGTCCGATATCATCTTCGACCCCGATAGCAGCGCCCCGAGCCCGATCCCGGGGAACAGATACATATTGTTCACCTGATTACAGCACCGCTTCGCCGTCGGTGAACTCCCCGTCGCGAATATCATGTTGTCCCCCAAAACTGCAAAAGCCTCCTCGAATGTACACTCCGGATTAGGGTACGACATCGCGAAAATCGCCGGCCGGCGTCCCGGGTCGGATCCGGATCCGGATCCTTTCAGGGCATTCAATACATCTTTCGTGAACAACCCGCCGGAACCCGAAAACCCGACTAAAACGTCCGGCTTCACTTCCCCCACCACTTCCGCCAGATCCGCCCCTTCCTTCAACCGATTATCACCTCTCCTCGCAAAACGACGAACCTCCGGATCGATTTCCCGGCGTTCCTCGGTGATTAACCCTCGAGCATCAACAACCCAGATCTGGTCCCGAATCTTACTTTCACAACCGGAGCCGCCGGTACTCTGTACCAGAAATCGGTCCATCGTTTTCCCAACCGCATTGAGGAACCCGATTCCTACACTTCCCGCGCCGGCGACGACGATCTTCTGGTTCGGAAAATCGGAAATTGGGCGTTTCCTCGCTCTTAGGGTTCCTAAAATTCCGGCGATTGCAACCCCCGCCGTTCCCTGGATGTCGTCGTTGAACATTCTGTAGACGTTTCTGTATCTGTGCAACAACTTGTGAGCCAATTCGCCGCGGAACCCTTCGAATTGGACGATGACGTTCGGCCAGCGAGTGAAGATTGCTTCCATGAGCTCGTCGAGGATCTCGACGTACTCGTCGCCGTCGAGCCGCCGCTCCTGCAGTCCCAGGTACCATGGATCTCCCAGCAGCTTCTCGTTGTTGGTCCCGACATCGATCATCACCGGGAGAACTCTCTGCGGATTTATCCCCGCCGCCGCGACGTACAGGTCGAGTTTTCCGATCGCCATCCCGATCCCCTGTACGCCCAGGTCTCCCAGCCCCATTATCCCGCTTCCGTCCGTGACGACAATCATATGGACCTGCAGTAGTGGCAGAACCGAAGCAATACAGTCAAAATCGTGATACTATGCAGAAGCGTTTGATGATTTAAAATTGTGAAAACGTAAGTTTTTAGTTTTAAAGTGCAAATATTAACTACATTTGTAAGTTAAAATGCGCGATTTTGCGTGGAGTATCGAGATATGAAATTGGAAATCATAGACAAAACTGTTATGCAGCAATGTGATTTTAGTGTACCTCTTTGATCTCGATAATACGAGTTATTTTATTGGACAAAAGAAAAATTAAGCCAGTATCAGATTGGAAATCGGTGGCCGGACCTGCTCGGCGGGCCAATTATAGACCATGGACATCATCTCCCCGCGATCGGCGGCGCTAAAGAACATGCCCCTCGGCCGGCGAAACAGGCCGCTGTAATTCTGGCAGACGCGGCCGACGGTGGGGGTGTAGACGATGGCGGAGTGCTCCGCAATGTTGTCGAGGAGGATCCTGTAGTACATTGTCTCGTTGCGGTCGTGGAGGCGGTTGAGGATCCGCCACTTGGCGAGGGCGTTGGTGTCGGACTCGCCGTCGCGGGCCTGGACCTGGAGGCGGCGGAGGTCGACCATGAATCGGTCGATCTGCTGGGCGGGGGACATGACGTTGGGCGGGAGGAGGCCGCGGAGGTTGAGGCGGTCGCGCTCCGTGACGGAGAAGGCGGTGCCTTTGTTGAACCATGGGTCGTGGAGGATGTCGAGGCTCCGCTTGTGGACGATGGTGGGGCGGCGGCCCTCGGTGGTGGTGAGGATTAGGGATCTCGCCGGAGGGAAGTGGTGGCGGCGGAGGCGGTCGATTAGGGCAGTGGTGTGATTGGGGATTTTGGTTGTCCGGATCATGGTTTTATTATTGATGTTTGTGTATCAGATTAGGTCTGGAGAATAGAGGAAATGCATTGTGAGGTTTTTTTTCATAGGGGGGAAAAATGGCGCTGGAGTTCAGTTCGGATCTTGGAATGGTAGATGTGGAATGTGGAGTGAGTAGGGTGTATAACTGTTGTACGTTATACGTGGTAGGTTGAATTATCATTTATCAAAGAGAAAACGAGCTATTAAGAGATTTTTTTTTTTTACAAATTGTGATGGACGGATTTCAATGGGTGTTTGTGAAACTCTATCGTAATGACGGTGATTAGAATTTTTTTTTTGTTGCTGAGGTCTAAATTTGGTAGGTGATTTTCAGTGATATCAAAAGGTAAAACCATGATTAAATTACGATTTCAATATAGAATACTTGATTGTTAGTTTTTACAATACAACTCTTATATGATTTTACAATTTTGACTTCAACCGTCACATATACATGAACTTCTAACTTCTAAGTGTGGTGTGAATTGTGAACGTATAGGTGTGAGATGTCCCATTTCATTAGTACATAATGAAATTTGTCGGAAAAAGATCATAAGATTTCTTGAAATGATGTCATACTAGGGCACATATTGCAAATATATTGTCAATGGGCTTAGAAGGGGGACGGCTACGAATAATGTTAGTGCTAATATGTTCTTGGCACAAAACAATGAACAGTCAAGTAGACACTTTTCTTGATCCAAGATAAGCTCAAGGACATAGGTGAGGTGAGCAATAAAGACAATATGAAAGCAAAGAACCACCAAGGACATAGCTCAATGACATAGGTGATAAATTGAATTCAATCCATCGATTAATTCATCTACTAAAATATCAAACTAATATGTTTTATTCAAATCAATCCATTTTATCCAAATCCAAATAGACTTGTGGACCCATTAATATTTGGAAATTTACAGTTATATGCTTATACATTTTACATTCGATACCTAATTTTTATTAATTTCAGAAAAATATCATTAAAAAATTAAGTTATGGTACCTAAAATTTTTCATAATGACAATTTAGTACCTATAATTTTCAATGTACAAAATGGTTCAATGTTTGGATGTCAGTCCATTTCATCCTATTTATGATTTCATCAATCTACCAATCCATAAATACAATTTATTTGCCATCTCTAAACACAAAATTTGGAAATCCTCGAGCAGCAAAACCTCAAACGAACCATCCAACTTATAGATGTCGCAATGAGGCTCATATGAAGTAGTAACAGCATTGTGGAAGAGGATGTGCTGCCCCTCCTATTGAACCTCAGCACCGGCTCAACTCAAACCCACCAAAACATCATTGAAAAGCAAATCGTTTTAACTTGAAGATCCATTGTGAACGTTTGGGAGGGAATGATGAGAAATAAAATAGGCAAAACAACTGTCACATTGGTAGTATTTTCATCATCGTCATTAAGTTCTCACTCCTGGCAACTTTATTTCACAAGAAAGGAACAAAGATCAAATGACAGTAGGAACTTGCATCATTAGAGACTCAACTGGGACAAACCAGAGAGAATTTCAGAGGAAGTAATCACCAAACATCAGGACGGAGTTCACCACTTGCAGGCGGCATCCACCTTCCAGAGTTGTAGACACTTTCACCAACTTTCCAGCCAGGCACATCCTTCATCACCTCTGACTCGTATTCAAGATACTTCCTCCATTCCTTGGAAAATCTGAATATAGAAATGACACATGAAGATACTTCAGCTCAAGCATGAGTAACGGCAGAGACAAGACATATTACCTTTCATCTTCTTCTGCTTGCAGGAGAGGTAGAATGGCCATCCGAGCAGTGTACTTCTCGTCTTTGAGTGCCCTGCAGAAGAAAATTTCAGAGATTATGCATTTCCCTGGTTAAAAAGGCAAAACCTTGCCGCAAGACCACATAGTTTAAGCCTACAGAAGTCAGAACAATCAAATTATGTACGTATATCATCAGAAAAATACTAACTAAGGAGTAGAAATTGCCAGATAAAAAAGTTCAATGATTTCATGTCACTTAGGGAGAGAAAGGACTAAGGAATTCATGACTTAAACATCTTTTTAATACCAAATAAATCAGTAAATCACTATATGAAGTGTTTCTCTGCACAACTCTCTAATTTCTGTCTTTCTGAATTAAGCAACAGCAAAACAGCAATTCCACATGGAATCGCGCCCACACAGAAGGACTATGCAATTGAGAAATCAACAGCAACCAAAAACTTACATGCCTGCCTTTTCGTCATTAATACATCAATCCAAATAAAACTAAATCAACTCTAAGACTACTAGCCAGCAAACCATCTATTCCCTGTCAATGGGGCACAGAGGGTTACTGGACTTCCAATCATGTCCTGTAGTCAATTTTCGACTGAACCTAAGCTACCCTCCTTTCTCACTGGTATTCCTTTGGATGCATGCCAAACCAGGATGAAGCTAGTTAGGCAAGGAAGCAAAATTGCTTCTTCTAGAGCCCGTTTCTTCCAACATTGTATCATCTGGTATCCCATACCGCACAAAGCCAAACGTTTTCCCTAGAAGTTCTATGTTTGGTCTGGTTCTGATTCAATAGCATCATGCTTGGAAACTATCTAGCATCAGGAAGATCAGCCTACTCCCTCAGCAGGAATCCTAGTTTTCCAACATAGAGTTATATCTCACATCTCGTGCTGAGAAAGCAGTTCATGACTGAAACATCTTTTGAAGACCAGATAAATCAATAAATCACTACTGTCGGGCTGCATACATATGAAATGTTTCTCTCCACAACTCTCTAATTTCTGTCTTTCCGAATGCAGTAACAGCATCGCAGCAATTCCACATGGACCCACCCACACAGATGGACTAAGCGATTGAGAAATCAATGGCAACCAAAAACTTACATGCCTGCCTTTTCGTTATTCATGCATAAATCCAAATAACACCAAATCAACTCAACCAGCCATCACGCCATCTATTCCCAGTCAATGAGTCGCAGAGGGCCTACATGTTCAACCATGCCCTATCGTCAATTTTCGACTCAGCCTAACTTCCCTCCTTTCACACAGGTATTCCTTAGGAGGCATGCTAAACCACAGTGAAGCTAGTTAGACTAGGAAGCAAAACTGCTTCTCCGACAGCTCGCTTCTTCTAAAACTGTACCATCTTCTATACCATACTGCACAAAGCCATAAGTTTTCCACTAGAAGTTCTATGTTTGACCTCATTCCGATTCAATAACATCATGCTTAGGAACTATCAAACATCAGGAAGACCAGCTAGTTAGATAAGGAAGCAAAACTGCTTCTTCAAGAGCTCGCTTCTTCTAACAATGTACCATCTGGTATACCATACAGCACAAAGCCAAACGTTTTCCCCAGAAGTTCTATGTTTGGCCTCATTCTGATTCAACAACATCATGCTTAGGAACTACGTAGCATCAGGAAGACAAGCCTACTCCCTCAGCAGGAAACCTATTCTTCTACCGTAAAGTTCATCGCAAATCTCGTGCTCTCCCTATGACGAATTTTGATTATTTAAACCTAAACGCCACAGATCAACAACTTGAGAACCAAACAGAATCAAAAGAGGGCCGACAAATGGTTCTCTCCCTCCAACAGGAAGCTGATTAAAGGCTTCAATTCCTGAAATCAATCAAAATCCACCTCCAAAAACGCTATCATAACGGATGCTCGATCGGCCACCAATACTCTCGGCGATCATAATTAATCCAGAATGGAAAAAAAAACGAAACTGAAAACGAAGATTGAAAGCTCTCTCAACTCGCCCCCAAATTACCTGCGGATCTTGTTCCCCTTTCCAACCTCGTAGAGGCCGTAGGAGAAAGCGCCCAGGGCAGTGAGGAAGATAGCCACGGCGCTGGGACCTTTGGTGGGGATCCTCCGAGTATACCTCACGGGGGCGAATCCGCCGGGAGGAGGACCGTCCTGAAGCAGCGGCATGTCCTTCACGCTGGCCATGCCGGGCTTCTTCCTGATGAAGGCCTCCGTCATCGTCGATTCAGTTCAAGCGCCACCGGAATCTTTGCGCTTTTCAGGTGCGGTGCGGACCGAAGAGACGGTAGAATGGAAAGGATCGACTGGAACTGAGAGGAAATGAGAAATCGTGGGGTTGGGGAACCTGGGGGATTGGAATTTGGAGCTGTGGTGACTGCGTGGGCGAAGGAGCTTACAACTAATGAGAAATGGACACGTAACCTACAATTTGAGTGCTGTGGAGTGAGCTAGCCAGCTAGGTGACCGCTCAGTCACTTTTTCTTTATGTTATTTTTTAAAAAATTCTAGTTTTATTTGCTAAAATATTGCTATGGTTGTTTATGTGGGAATTTTGAAAAAGGATTTTTGTATCGAATTTTCATTCAATTATGCGTTTAGGAAGACGAAAGATTTCAGCAATGTAGACAACCTTTGCATTTGAGTAATGTAGACATTTCTAAACTTAAACCATTTTATCCTTACTTGCAATATGTTTTATTTATTGGTTGCTATCCTGGTAAAGTCAATCACGAGAACAAAATTCACTTTGCAACCCATATATAATTATGCCAAACCACTCAAGCAAATGAACCCTAAAATTCTGACGAGATCCATTGATTTAGAAGACAGTTATCTACATGTAAGTTGGGATGTGATACCATAAAGTCAGATCACATCATTATTTACAATTGAGTAATTTTAGAGAAAATTTATCACAAGAAATCTATTATACACAATAACATCGTGGCAGTATCAAACATAAAACTTTATACTACCTTCTACGAATTATGTGGACAATAGATCCGACGCTTTATGAAGTTCATCACTCATTCTAACATAATCCAAAGTACATGATACTTTTTTCTTAGTACCGATAATAATTCTTTCTAACGGATCTTATGTTACGAGTACATCAAGCTAAATAAGAGCAAATTTTTACTCGCTCCTCATTACAGTGCCTGGATACAGTGATTCTTGTGCTCCTCCATTTACTAGTTTCTCCAACAAATGTCAAATGCCCACTTCCATTGAAACAGTGGAAGGAGAGTACTGCAAGTCTGCAAGCCCAGCAGTAAAATCGTTAGAAGTTGGAAGCAGTACAATCAACAGTCCAAAGGTACGTACTAAACTGGAAATTTCACCACTTGGTACTTCTCAACTGAGAAAAAAAAAAGAAGAAAAAAAAGCCACCTCCCCCAAATTTTTTTTTTTTTGTTCCGCCAGTCAAAACGACTGAAAATTTCGGTGAACGCAATGCCAGCCAGCCAGAGGCCGAGATCGATCTGGAACCGCGGCCCCCCATTCCTTTTCGTCAAGCCCTAAGTGATGCATCCAGCTCTGCTCTCACTGCTGCTGATCACGGCCTTCGCCCACCTGATCCAGTTCGGCAGCTCGCACCAGGAGTCCGGGACCTGGACCTGCGACTCCGAATCCGATACCCGGGTCGCCGCCGGCTTCAACCCGGGACTCGTCACCGTCGATGGCCACTCCGATGATTGGACCGACGTCGACGGGTTCGAATTCCCCCTCCGCCCTGCTCTCGACCCGGATGCTGATAAGGAGTATAAAGCCGGCAAGATGACCGTTAAGGTATGTATGAATTGAAATAGAATGCCTGCTTTGCGGGTTTTTTTTAGCCTTTTTTTTTTCGTTCAAGCTCAGTGAATGATGACGAACGTTTGGGAACTTTTTGTTGGCTATCAGGCGTTGCACGATGGCCGTGACGTATTCTTCTTCTTGGAAGTTGATGGGGATTATGCGTATTCAAAAGGGTGAGTGCGAGTTTGGTTTCCATGGCTGTACTGTCCTTGTACCCTCTCTGATTTCAATTTGATGTAATTGGGTATTGGCTTCTGTTGTTGATTTGGGGGTTTGGTATTTTCTTACTTTCCCAACTGATTGGAGATATTTCCTTTGCCCACTTCGAGATTTCCTTTTCTCCACTTCCTTGTTTTGGAAAGGATCACAGTGGTGCCACTGTTTTTGTTTTTTGTTTTTGCAATGGAGTTAGCTAGGAGGTTCAGAGATCTTCCCAACTGATGCAGAGTTTGTTTTGGTGGAATTGCTTTTACGTTTGTCTGTACTGCAGGGATAACACTAAGTGCGCTTCTGTTTCTCTCATGTTTCAAGTTGGTGCTGATGCCACCTATCACAGTGTAAGCTGTCCCCTTGCTGATGGTTTCCTTTTGTTGATGTCAATTCATGTTTGTTCCCTTTTTTTGTTCAAGCTTTGGAATTGAAATTTTGGGAAGATGGCTGTTGTTAATTTAGATGGGCGGTTGCAAGGAGGGAACAGACAGTTGTACCAACAAGACCTGCAAAGGCCATGAAGTTGACATCATGCACTTCTCACTTGGAAATGCTATCCCGGGGCGTCTCTATGGTGGCAATCCCATAGACAATGGAGATGGGAATGGAGGTGACAGGTGATCAAATTGTTGAGTTGTTAACCATAAAACCAACACTATGGAATTACTTTTTTCCTTTGTGGTATTTTATACAATATGAATATGTTGCTTAGTTTCTTTTATCTGAAATGTTGTCATCTGCCTGCTACAGATTCGGTCATCTAGTTGATCTTTATGCCTGGAATCCGCACTGTAGATATCTCGATGGAATGGGTCCGTCAGGTAAGTCTGAAGCTTCCTTTTGCTCTTCTGTTGACAGACACATTTACATTGTGAGCAAAATGAAAGGCCCATCTGCTTAGTGAAACTTAGAAAGTGGGATAAGGCACTAACATCTAGTTGATTAAAAAAGGCTTATCAAATCAGGATTGAGCAAAATGGAAATCTTTGATTGTTTTCCGGCTTGAGCAGTTAGCTGCAGGTGGTTAACATCTCCGAGTTTTTTTATTACTATATTCTAAAAGGATGAACAAGCGAATTCATAAGTTGAATTTTGTTATGTGAAATGGATGTAATAGGTGTTTTTCTTTTCGCCTTCGAAGCTGTGGCTGTATCCAGTTAGATTTGGTTTGCTCCATCTCTGGTTACATATTAACTTGCTTGGTATTCTGTTTCATATACAGGAAACGACTCCAGTGCACAGAATAACTGGAAAGGGTCGTGGTGGCATAGTAGTCTAGATGTACACTCTGGTAATTTGTTGTATCTTATTGTCCTGAAAATTATTTATATATGAGGTTTTGCTACTTGAAACTATTGGCCATTTTCATGTTAGATTATTCAGTGCTCTATTAATCATATTCATCATGTTCCTGCTGACCGAGACATTGAACAGTAATCAATGGTTTAGATTATGTGCAAGTTTGTTAAAAACCAGTAATATAATGCATTGCATCAACAAAACCTGGAAGCAATGTGTACATTTCACCAATCAAGACCGAGATCAATGATTGAAACAGGTAACGTGACGGAACGTGCCCAAAGACAAAACTTGAGGGGGATCAATATTCTGTTGCTGCCCGAAATAAACTGTGCTTCATATCTCTCATTAGTGATTAGTAACCATAATACCATATTCGAATATTCTCTTAAAACTGATAGTGAAATGTTACATATATAGTGAACGCACCTCTGAGATAACATTATGTCTATGTATATCCAACATCGTGTAACTCTTTCATATGCGGTTAGTTGTGCTTATCTGTCAGAGAAGGACTCACCTGAACTGTTCTATAAACGATTCAGTTCCGTTCTATTGGTGTCTGTCTTCGTTGTTGAGCATGTTTCCAAGCAAACTATTTTTCAAAGTCTCATTCCGTGCTTCCTATCGTGCTGCACAGTCTCATAACGAGTTCGATCTTTCACTGTCAGGTTTCATCCAGGATGACAGCCCTTATGGATCAGATGGCCAAAAGGGAAAATACTATTTCGAATTCTCAAGGCCTTTAAGAACCATGGATCGACTCCAACAGGTGAGAACAACATATAATCAGCACATAGATATTGCTGAAAAAATGTTTTGTAGCTCCCAAAAATCAAGTTGCCCTATGTGAATATTCTGGCCATATTGGTGAAGTATCTACCCCCCATCTCATCCATCTGTAGAAGTAGATTCACACTCGAATTGCCCGCCCTTTGAAACTCAACCAATTGATAGATTAGGATTTAGGAACAATATCAAAGAGCTTATCTTACATGAACGATTTCTTACCTCGACTCCAGGATGCTCAGTTCACGATCGGGGGATCGAGCAAGATGGCTGTAGCATTCTGGTACCCAGTAGACGGTCAGCCATGGCACAAGTCAGGGCATTACTCCATCAACTGCGACTGGATCCCTTTGGAGATCTTATCAGGCAGTTCTAAGCTGGCAACATCGGCACCCGGAGGAGGAGACTCGGGAGGTGGGGTGGCCAGTGCTTTTGCCCTTCTGTTTTCAGTAATCTCCATTTGTCTCTCTGTTTTTGTGGCTTACACTGTTGCCAGGCCCAGGAGCATTCCCTTCACGCCCATGGAGAATCTGTAAATCCTTTTTTTAGCAGTGACTGAGAGATATACATACTCTGCTTAAGATCCCCCCAGAATGAGATTTGTATCTGTTTGTACTGTTAGTTGATTCACTTTACTCACTAGTACTTCTTGCTAAACCTGTACTGTTGAATAGTACCACTATATTGGTGTCATGGTGTGCATTCCTTTCCCTGCAGTTTTTTTTAAGTAGTTTTGTAGTCTCTACTTTATTTACCAGCTTTTCTTTCCACCATTTCTTGCTTTTGATTTCTTCCATTTTCCTCCCACTTTCTTATCTTCAACTCCTTTTGCCTTGGTCCAAGCATACATAATTGAATATTGCACTTCACTGGTTTATTACCAGCTTTGTACCCGTCATTTGAGAAGTAATTAAGCAACCCTGGGTGCTTTAACGTACATGAGTTCCATCATACTGATTACATCCTTGCTGTCTAGAAAAAAGATACCAGTGATATCCTTGTGTGATTAAACTCTGTTCCTTCTATATTTTAGATGAAATTTTGGATTAAACGACTAAAAGTGAATAAATTGACGATCTAGATTTGTTAGAGACATTCTTCTTGGATCTTTCTGTTTGTTCCTTCTACGAATTACATGGTCACGTTTGTTGAAAGGACAGGAAAAGTGAAACTAGTCTTAGTGTGATTGAAGGCTTAGGTTGATGAAGAGAAAAAAGTGCTACCTTTCCTTCAAGACATTCTCCCTAACTCAAAAGGAGGGATCGTAGTTCTGTTCCCCATTATGATAATAAATTGGATATTAGACCTTGTATTAGTTTTCAATAACAAAGTTCTTTGTATTATGTCGTTTCCTATTTTGAGATTTCATTCAAATTCATCGGTAACGATATTGTCCACATCTTAGTAATCACGTTTCGACAATTCACATCTCACATACGATAAAAAATTCATATTTTGCGCCCTCTATCTGGACTCACTCATTAACCATAACCTTATCAAGTCCTAAACGACAACACAACAATCGTAAAACAAAAGTAGATACGAGGCTTAAGCATCGAATGGATGATAAACCATGAATTTCCAACATTCATGGTACGTGAATAATCTAGAACGTGTCAACGTGATGTTACACATGAGTGAATCATAGTTGTTTGTTATTTTAACCGATCATTTAGTTACGGTGAATAAACAAATAGATAAAACGACGTAGTACATGTATGGCGTGTTTTGTAGAATGATGATGTTTTTGTTAGAATGATATTGATTTAGGACTAGAAATAGTATCAAGCCTTTTTTTTATTACCCCGTTATCCGTTTGGACCGTAACCTCGTGAGCCGTGAGCAAAAAATCCTCCTATGAAACGTCGTCGTTGCTGCTTTGCAGTTTGCACCCGACTAATGGCTGGGATCAGAGATCCATTAGTCAGAGTTAAGAGTAATAAAAATCTAATTTGAGACGTTAAACCCCGTCCGCCCGCAAAGGAAGAAATAGAAAGCACAGAAAAACCCTAAACCCTAACCACCAGAAGCTGCCGAGGTTGCTTCTAGACCCTTCCTCCTCTCACTAGAAAACCCATCGCTCCTTCTTCTCCCACTCTCCTTCTCGCCTCTCTCTCGTCCTGTGAACTCTCCATTGATCCTTCCCTTCAGTCCCTTTTGACTTCCCTCCTTCCAGCAATTTGCATTCGACCATGTACCGATTCGCTTCTAGCCTCGCCACTAAAGCTCGGTGAGTTCCAACTTGGCTCTTGGTTATTCACTCTCCCATCTCATTTGCTGGTGGAAAGAAGCCTCTGATCTCTAGAATTGAATCAAGGTTTCGTTATCTGCTTTCTGTTATTGCTCGTTCATTTTGCTTATGTTGGGTTCTGTTTTGTCGATTACAGGATCGCCAGGAATGGTGCCCAGCAGGTAAGAACTGTGTGCTTGTTGCTCATTTTGTTGTTGAATTGGGTGCGAGTTGTGGGCTTCTTGCTGATTTGATCGGTGGATTGTCATTGTAGGTTGGAAGCAGAGTGAACTGGAGCAGGAACTATGCGGCCAAAGACATCAGATTTGGCGTAGAGGCTCGTGCTCTAATGCTTAAGGGCGTTGAAGAGCTTGCTGATGCCGTCAGAGTCACGATGGGTCCTAAGGTAAATACATCACACCCTTCCTTGCATTCTGCAATAACCTTGGTCTGCCTGTATCGATCTGGCCAGGCGCCATTCTCGCATCAGATCTTCGCTTGCTGTTTCTGTGCTATTTTTATGCCATATCGTAATTGATATTTCATCATTCATTTCGTCCACCCTTTTCAAGAATTATGGAGGGTTTTGGGTAGTAATGGAATCCGCATCCCTCTGCTCTTTTCAGGGTCGCAATGTGGTTATTGAGCAAAGCTTTGGTGCCCCAAAAGTGACCAAGGATGGAGTTACAGTTGCTAAGAGCATTGAATTTAAGGACAAAGTTAAGAATATTGGTGCTAGCCTCGTCAAGCAGGTTGCTAATGCTACCAATGATACTGCCGGGGATGGTAAGTTTCTACACTGGTGCAACAATTCTCTTCAATTTTGTACCGTGCGGATGGCTGCAGTGGTGAAAGAAAGCAACAGCTGAAGTGCTGTTAGTAAATTAGGGGAACAATCATGTTCTTGAGTTCTGACAATTTGGAATCGTGCGGAGCTGTGAAATCCTTTCAAATTTCTCTAGCATAATAGCACAGGGTTCTGATACCAGCATCTGAATGGATCGTTACATTAAAGTTTTTATTGTAAGCATTATATATGAGTATGACATGAAGAAAACACTGATCAATTGGATGGTTTTACTGTTGTATAATTAGCTTTTGATTGTTCTTGCAGGGACCACTTGTGCTACAATTCTCACAAAGGCCATATTCGCCGAAGGTTGCAAATCAGTTGCAGCGGGAATGAACGCAATGGATCTACGTCGTGGAATCGGCATGGCTGTTGATGCCGTTGTCTCCTACTTAAAAAGTAGGGCACGGATGATCAGCACGTCTGAAGAAATTGCACAAGTTGGCACCATATCAGCCAATGGGGAGAGAGAGATCGGGGAGTTGATTGCCAAGGCAATGGAGAAGGTTGGGAAAGAGGGAGTTATCACTATCCAAGTAAGCTCCAGTTCTGTCCACTTGAGAAGGATTTGGTTGCACCGCATGGATCCTTAATGTAAAAATGTTGTCATGATTGTGGCATTAAGATCTTAACTGCATTTCAATTTGTTGCAGGACGGGAAGACATTATATAATGAGTTAGAAGTTGTGGAGGGAATGAAGTTGGATAGAGGTTACATATCACCTTACTTCATCACTAACCCGAAAAACCAAAAATGTGTAAGCTCTTGTTTTGTCTAATCCCAGCCAGAATGTCCTAATGATTTTAGTTGTAAATTCTTGTTGAGTGATTCCTGACTGAGCTTGATCTGACTTTCCAAAAATAGGAATTAGAAAATCCCCTGATCTTGATCCATGAGAAGAAAATCTCCAGCATGACTGCGATTGTTAAAGTACTAGAGCTGGCCTTGCAGGTGGGGATTCTATTTCTCTTAATTAGTGGATCACACTAAATACGACTGATTCTTGCTTGGTGTATTTGCTCAAATTTTGATTCATATTGCAGCACCAAAGGCCCTTGTTGATTGTTTCTGAAGATGTAGAGAGCGAGGCACTGGCAACTCTCATCATAAATAAGCTTCGTGCTGGACTCAAGGTTGGATGCTTGTCATGCTGTTACATATGATCTACTCATCATTATGTGATTTGTGATGAGCGATTCGTGGGTCAGATAGATGATTACTTCTCCTTGTCTGTTTTCTGTAGGTTTGTGCCATTAAAGCTCCTGGATTTGGAGAAAACAGGAAGTCGGGGCTTCAAGATCTTGCTGCTCTTACAGGAGCACAAGTGAGTGCATTGTCCACACACCTATTTATCTCACTCTATAGCTCAGCTTTCTGAGTAAAACCCGCTGACACCCTACTTTGCAGGTTGTAACTGAAGAGCTTGGGATGAATCTCGAAAAGGTTGAGTTAGAGATGCTTGGTAGCTGCAAGAAGGTAATCTACTTGTACACCTTTTAACTTCTTAGGAAATGTGGTCCGGGCTCTGATTGATTCTGGTCTCTGTTTACTCTGAATCCAATGATGATACTTGACTGTATTTTTGTAATAGCTTGCAATATCAAAGGACGACACAGTCATTCTTGATGGAGCTGGTGACAAGAAATCCATCGAAGAAAGATGTGAACAGGTTTGTTTCTGTTAATACCTGGTTTAGGTATCACCATTTGCCAGATGTGTGTGGTTAAGCTTTGCATTAACGATTAAACATTTTCTGGACAGATCCGGTCTGCTATAGAACTGAGCACTTCCGATTACGATAAGGAGAAGTTGCAAGAAAGGCTTGCCAAGTTGTCTGGTGGTGTGGCTGTGCTGAAGGTATTTCCGATCTGCCTTTTGCTTTGTTGCTAACTAGTAGAGCAGTCTTTTACAGACACTAGTTATCTCCTGAGAAGTGTGCTATAACCGCTGTCTGATTTTACTTGAACAGATCGGTGGTGCAAGTGAAGCTGAGGTCGGTGAGAAAAAAGATAGAGTCACAGATGCCTTGAACGCAACTAAGGCAGCTGTGGAAGAGGGTATTGTCCCTGGTAAGTTCTCTTTATTTATATGATGCGTTGTTCTGTTTGAGTTGCTCAAACTAGCCACCAAGAGTTTTAATTGAATTTCTTGATTTCAGGTGGAGGTGTTGCTCTTCTTTATGCGGCAAAAGAGTTGGACAAACTTCAGACGGCCAACTTTGACCAAAAGATTGGTGTTCAAATTATTCAGAACGCATTGAAGGTTTGTAACCATTTTTCTGATTGACTCTGTCCAATCTTTTTTTCTCTTGCTTCAAAGCGTTGAAGAGGAAGCTGATGTATGAATTCTGAAATCGCAGACTCCTGTTCATACGATTGCATCTAATGCTGGAGTTGAGGGGGCCGTTGTTGTTGGCAAGCTAATGGAACAAGATAACCCAGATCTCGGCTACGATGCTGCCAAAGGTGAGCACAATCGTTTATATCCATTTCCTTGTGACGCACGGAAGTCGTCTTCTCTGAAATCGTACTGAAGTATTGTTGCTGCATGCTTGTTGTCTGCAGGTGATTACGTCGACATGATCAAAGCTGGAATTATCGATCCGCTTAAAGTAATCAGGACTGCTTTGGTTGATGCTGCCAGGTACCCCTCGCTGCTTCCAACCCCGTATCGTTACTACATAACTTAGCCGATATCTGCCTGCCTGATGAGGGGTTTACACTTACGAGTCTTTATTGTTTTGGTGAATGCAGTGTTTCATCCTTGATGACAACAACTGAAGCTATTATAACCGAGCTACCTAAAGAAGAGAAAGAAGCTCCTGGGATGCCAGGCGGCATGGGCATGGACTACTGAGATCCCTTACGAGTTACAAACAACTGAATAGGGAGGCCTAAATATTGGATTTTGTACCCGAATTGTTTGAAGAGTTCTAGTTGTGTATTTTGGTCATAGTGAGCGACTCCCCTTCGAATTTTTTCGGGTTTGCAGGTAGAGGTGTAGCTTGTTTCTCCCCCAAAGGGAAAGCCGAATTGTGAGTAACCATTGCCGATATTTCCCACAATAAATGATTTATTGTCGCCCTTGTTGCTTAGGACAATAATCAAAGAATGACAATGATGTCTGCAATTGGTCTGTTGCTAGCAGAATGTAACCATATCCAAGAAGTCGCAGCCTTTTAAAGGTTGATACAGAGCATTGCTGAGTTCACTTAGATCTTGATCATCAGCAACCATGTTCCCATAGCTCACGTTAAGTCCTCGTCGTCTACTGCCTTCTTCGTTAACCTTTCTGGGTTTCGGATTTGAAACAGAGCTTGCAGTCTGTGGTCCAGCTGCTGTATTGCTCTCTGTCTCTGTCTGTTTAGAAACATTTACAGATGAGAAAAGAGCTGCAAAAGAGCGCCCATAAATAAAGCCACGCAGAAAAGAAACTAAGAAGTGGCGAACAACGCCGGAGCTCCTCTTCTTGAAATAGTGGACAAGTCGCTAGAAACCATTCGTGTAGTAAAGAGTAACTGTAAATGGAGGCAAACAATGCCCCTATAGCTCAGTGGTAGAGCGTCAGTCTTGTAAACTGAAGGTCCGTAGTTCGATCCTGCGTGGGGGCATTCTCTTTTCTATTTTGTTTGTACTTCCTCATTTTCAGTTTTGCAAACACCTGGAGCAGGTCCCACACCACGCGCTAACCCCAGTCATCAATCAATTAATGATTGATTAGCCTTTAATTAAACACCTGGTTGCCACCCACACATACCAAACCAAAATGCCATTCGGTGTGCCCTGCTTTCTTTCTTTTCACGAGGATCACTGACTTTTGCTTATAACGTGTCCAAGATCAGACGCTCCTTGCTATCAGACATGCAGATAGAGTTAAGAAAAGAGGAGAGAAGGGGCGCGTAAATGATGCAATCCATTTGCGAGAAAGAAAACACTACTTACTACCCACAGAGCCTAGCTAGCTACCTAGCTTGAGTATCTTGAAAGCATAAAAAAGATAGATGACATAAAAAAGAACTACACTACAAGTTTCCTAACAACGGCTATGAATTGTGTTTGAGTGTGAGTGAGTGAGGCGCTCAATATGTCAAAAATTTCAAACTTTAGACAGCTAGCTTAGCTACCCAACAAATTTCTCCTCCCTCCTTTGCTGGTTAAGAGGTTTGGCAAGTTTCCTGATTGTGTGATGAATAAGAGCCACTCTCCAGTCTCTCCACCCACTTGAGCACCCTGCATTTCTCTTTCTCCACTCAATTGGGCTGCTAATCTGAGTAAGTTTCTGTCAGAAACCCTTCATTTGGTGTGTGTTTTTGAGTACTGGGTTCTGTTGAAAACAATGGTTTGATGTTGAAGTGGCAGCAGCAGCCTTCCTTCCTATATTGTTTGACAGTTTCGTGCTGAATGGTCGGTGAAAATATCAGGAGGAAGCATCTCTGCGTTGTTTCCTGCATTGCCCTGTATAATGACAGTTCAATACGAAAGGTGGTTGTGACTTTGTGAGAACAGTGGCCATAAGCAGCTGCCATTTTTCTCACTTCTTCTCAACCAAGAAAAGAAACTGAGATTTGAGAGATTTGATCACGTACACTGGGATTGTCACCAAACAAGGGATCATGATGGGGCGCAGGGATATACGATCTATTGAAGCTGGTTCGTTGCACATTAGTAACAGCACCATATTTCCGCAGCAAGAAGGACAAGAAGTACCTGACCAGTTGCAGGCAAAGAGGTTTGATCATTCTGTAGCCAAGAGGGCGGCCCTTCGAGCACGTTACGTGTACTGCATCATCTTCTTGATAACAAATCTCAAAGCTTGGTTCTTTCGAGATTATGGCCAGAAAGTCCTCAGTCAGTTCAATTGTGAGTAACCAGTAACTTCCTGTGATTCTAAGATCTGATCAGTTTCTGCTTGAACTAATGTCATCCACATATGCAGATGTAAAAGCTTGTGGAGTAGATGGGGAAGACTGCTGCCATACTCTGGGGGTTCTTCGAGTGAGTCTTGGATGCTTTGTATCCTTTGTGAATGAACAAGCAGCTTAAATAGATGGGAGGTTATGGCTAATCAATCATAAACAGAAGATGGTTTCATTGTGCACAAAGGAGAGATAGATTACTTGATGTAGTAATTCAGGATATAAGACTTCCCTTGACACTGTGACTAGATATTCTTCATTGTCATGCTGTTCACCACGGTTAAGACAAGAAAGCTGTATCAAGCTCGCAGTGGCTGGCATTCCGGTTGGTGGTGGTCGAAACTTGTCATTTTGATAGTGTCAATGACAGCTCCTTTCTTCCTCCCTTCAAATCACATTCAAGTTTATGGTATCTTCCTCCCTTCAAATCATATTCGAGTTTATGGTATATCTTAAAGTTCAGATCATGTTCTCCAACAATCTATCCGGTGATTCTCATCTATATTTCTGTTTGCAGGTGAACTTGCTCGCGTCGGTGCAGGGTAATGCTCTCGCCCACCCTTTTCTTCTTTATGCATTGTGAATGCTGGAAAGGATTATGAAGCAAGCAAAAATGGCTGAAGTTTTCGTTTTGGGTTGCAGGGTTTTTCTAGTTCTGCAACTTGTGAGTGTGATTGAGTTTATCAGCTGGTGGAACAATTACTGGATGCCTGATGAAGGAAAAAACCAAAGGTACCATCAATCTCCTTAATCGTTGAAGGCGGAATGTATGTTTATACGTATCCCTTTGGTGACATAATTAGCAGCAATCGATCTATTTGTTCTGTCTCTTTCTGGTTTTAATATAATCTTCTGCAGTTGCTCCTTTGGACTATTCATGTCAACAATCTTTTACATAGCTTCCGCCTGTGGGATTCTAGCAATGTACTTCCTCTATGGACATAGACTTGAATGTGCTCTCAACATATTCTTCATCACGTGGACAGCAGTTCTGCTTACTATACTGATGTCTATTTCCTTGCATTCCAAGGTAAAAAAACATAAATAATGTATACAACACCATTCTAAAAGCAGCAGCTTCCTGAGAATTCATTCCTCTTTTAAGAGCAAGAAATGCGCCAATCATTATGTAGGTGAATAGAGGTCTTCTATCGTCTGGGATCATGGCTTCGTACCTCGTCTTTCTTTGTTGGTCTGCTATAAGAAGGTTAGACCCTAACTCCTGCAGTGGCTTGAACCTCAACTCTTCTTTCGTTTTCCAGACAACAAGGTTTTACTACATACCTTTTTTGTACGCAGTGAACCTACCAGTGAGAAATGCAACAACCGAAACCAAAGTCATGGAAACAGTGACTGGACTACCATACTTGTAAGGCTTTGATTTGACCCTCTTCTTCTACAGTCGAATGCCCTTTCCTGCCGCGTTACTAATCACTTCATGGGCTGTCAGAGCTTCTTAATAGCCATAGGTGCAATTGTGATGGCAACCTTTTCAACAGGAATTGATTCCAAAGCATTCCAGGTAGGTAAAAACTTGCAATCAGTTCACACTTGAATGAACGCTGTTGCAGTGGCAGGCAGTCCAAATTGATCGACTCTTTTGATCACAGTTCCGAAAGGAGAAGATTGAAGAGGAAGATGACAGCATCCCTTAAGATTATGGGTTCTTCCATCTGGTGTTTGCATTGGGGGCAATGTATTTTGCAATGCTCTTCATCAGTTGGAACCTGAACAGCTCAGCAACCAAGTAAGAAAAACCTGACAAGGCGAAATTGAGCTTTACCAACCACATTTCAAGTCTGTTTTAACTGTGAACATCAACTGACCATTGCAGGTGGAGCATTGATGTTGGGTGGGCAAGTACATGGGTGAAAATCTTGAACGAGTGGTTCGCAGCTACAATATACAGTAAGCCAATCTCTGCATCTATGTTTCTCCATAACCATGCACAGGAGAAGTTAATCTTGTAAGTTTTTATGGGTATGGTTCACTTTACCTTTTCATTGTGCTTTTGTTTCTAGTATGGAAGCTGATTTTCCCAGTTGTGAGGCAACCCAAAGTTTCCATGGATGAAGGGGTTGGTGCGACAGTGGTGCAGATCGTGCAACAGGGAGAGACAGCAGTAGTAGTAGCATAAGCAAAAAAGGGAGCATATATATACATACAAGAGGTGTTACCCTGCAGATCAAGTATAATCATGAAAATATGAGGTGGGAGAAGTGAGAAGCAAGCAAAATAGAGAAAGGGGGGAAGTATGCCATGGTTGAAATTCTCTGTAGTTTATATAGTTTTAGCAAGACGTCATAGGCACCAAAGACTGCATCCTTGATGAGGAATTGAGGGCTTTGTCACTTATTCTGTTGTACATGGAGGAAGCAAAGCATAGTAAAATGAATCTGACTCCATGTGGGACCAGAATGATGAAGGCAGTGGATTTTCCCAGCTGCTGATGATTAGCTGCATTTTGCTCCCATCTCCTAATTTGCCTCCGATTCAGCCCATCGCCAGATGCAATTCCTTCTGCCAGCTCTATGACCAGAATAAAGAGGCCGTAGATAGCAATGTCGTTACATCTCCTAAGCACCAGCGATAGCGAATGATCAGCTCCTTCCCCTTTGTCTGATAGATATTGATTTCTTTCCAGTGCCATCATCCTTCTTAGGATGCAAGACTTTCTTCACCGATCTGCTCCTTCTAGTGATTAGATTGCTCAACTCCATCAACGGCCTGTTTTGGTTCAGCAATCAAACCAACCACAACATAGAGATAGGAGATATGATTAGAAAGCAGGCCACAGAAAGAAATATGAGGATAAGGAAACATTACAAGGTCTCCCTGTGCTATCTAAACATGGCTAACTTCATCAAGGTCAAGTTTATTGTAAAGGACCAAAGAGTTCGCAAAACAGAACAAAATTCTCAAGCAATTAGATAGAACGCAGAGAGGAAGCAGTTAGTAAGCGAGCAGACTCAAGACATCTCCATTCTCCTCTAATCCTGTTAGCCTGTTAGGGGAATAAGAAATGATTTCCCTTCTTTCTTATTATCCCATTTTCATTGCTAGTGCATGCCTAGTCATTTTCATTTTCGCTAGTGCACAACTAACCCTACCAGAGACTCACAAGCAGAAGTAAGTACCAGCCATTGTGGGAGGTATTATTGGCTCGTCCTCGTCGCTCTGAACCCACCAGCTGCAGAATCCATCATATGCAGCTCGCAGTTCCTCGTACCTTGGAATTGAAGTCGGCCAGCAGGACAACTCAACCAGGAAAAGACTCCAATAACTTCGGAAATTATGTAGATCAGCGAACCACTCCAACTCTCCCCCTGTCTTCAAATTGCAGGACAGCACATCCGCAGTCTTCACCAAAGAGGGGAATTGAGGAGGATGATCATCGTCACGACTGCAGGGAAGAGCGAAGAAGACAACTTCCGGCTTCCCTGGATGGAGGGTAGGTGCAAGACAAGCATCAATTTCACGTGACCTTGATCCCTTCAACAACCCTTCACATACTTTCGTCCAAGATTTACGGTCTTCTTCCAGCCTCCAAACAGTCGATGCAAACGGTGAACAACCCGGTTGAGGATTCTCTTCCAGTAAAATCAAGTGCAGAGCACCTTGTGAGACCGAGATATTCCAGTACTCTTTCCCAAGGACTGATGATAGAACATCAATGGCAGAGGGGGGTATATCGAGGAAGAAAGGATTAAAAGCAACAACTACAGGCTTCTTGCGACCAAAATTAAGCCAAAACAACTCCCCATTGCACGAAACTACACTTTCTACTGGGACTAAGGAATTTATCATCGAGAACAAGAGCATCCTTCGTCCATTCCCGAGAATCCGAACAAAACAAGTTCATTTTTAAAAAGCCTCCATCCGGGTACAGACACACCACGCGGAATCGATACTCATAAGCAAAGAGTTGGCCATCTCCTAGATCGAGATTAATTCGGGATTCACAAACTAACCTTGCAGGAAAAATAATCCAACGATTATCTGGCGATTTAGCCGCCAAAGGAAGGGCGACCCATTGCTTCGTGAACGGGTTGCAGACGAAGAAAGTCCTAAGCAATTGGCCATGGCTGCGAGTCTCGAACCCGCACAGAGTCAAGTCCTTGTAGGAATCCAAAACTGAGAAAGAGAATTCGCCTATCAAATTCATGAAGAGAAAGCTCTGGATGTTCGATTGCGAGTCGTCTGAGGGAAGAAGCAGGGGAGGTTGTTGGTTCCTGCTCCGGTGGTGGGAAACGAAACGGCGGTTGAAGCCGGGACTGGAGATAAGCGACCTCCATCCCTGGCAGACGGCTTTGCACCGGCAGGAGGAGCTAGGGTTTGGGAGGCGAATCAGAATTTTCGGCGAGGAGATCTTCACCGAGCGAAACGATCGTTGGATGAGGGTTTACTTCTGTTGGTATCCGCCATTGTTTGCTGGAGCTGTAAGGCACAAAACGGGACCGTAGCTGCCGACCGGAAGCTGAAGTGATGTTATCGGCCGACATTGGAGGTAGGCAAATAGAGGAGCAGGGAAGAGATCGAAAATTAAGTTCGTCGTCGTGAAATGATATGGCCATGTTGATTGGGCTTTGGGTTGCAAAAAGAAACCCATAATATTCATTTGGGCCCCCAAAAGTATGGATAGTTGTTTCTTGGTCCAATGCGTGGTTTCAAAAGGGTGGACGGGTGGTTAATGTCTATTTTTATTAAAAAAAATTCAGATTCTTTTATATTATTCAAACATATTAAATTAGTAATTTTGTTAGTAATATTGATTTGGCAATATGATACTGATTTGGAAAAGTCACGTGAAGATCAACATTTCAAAATTTTAGTATTTTAACTAAGAAAAGAGGTACTTAATTATCAACGATAACGTAAAAATGGCTAATATTTTGATGCATTATGAAAGATTTGGCTAATTAATAGAATTTTAATAGGTTTGGATAATATAAAAGAATCTGGAAAAAGTTTGGATAAAAATAGACATTACCCTTAATATTAATCATTTGCAAAAGTATTGTAAAACTGGTACTTCATTAATCCTTTAGTAACAAATTGCTATTTTTATTGCAGCTTCTATATATGCACTTAGATAACCCCTAGACAAATTAGGCATTAGATATAATCTCCAATGATCGTCTTATGCCTGGCGCCTTCTTAACTTGTACAATGTAATATCATTGAATTAAGTAACGAGTTTTCCTTTCCAATTGGTTTACAAGAGGGAAGGAATGAGTGGGTGTATCAACAAAACACAAGGTCAAATTACAATGGATAACATAAATGGTATCCAAATAAATTTCTCTAGTGAAATGGTATAGCTCGTATATTTGTCTTTGTTCAGTGACACTCGAGCTAATTTACCCTACATATAGTGACTTATGTAACTAAATTTTCACGAGTACTGCATATCGTTATTCGTATAGCAACCTAGGTTAATAGCAAAACAAAGAACCTATGCCTTGTTGAAACAGCTATAACTCTAAGCCAGTAATTCCCTCTGCCTGTTGTTACTAAACTTGAGGTTTTTCTTTGGCAATGGCTGAAGTCTTGACTCTATAACTGAATTTTCTTGGATGAATCAAAGAAATCGCTTTCTTCTCAACCAAAACAAAAACTTGGTTTGCCCATTCCATCTTTGATCGAAACCAAATCTGCGACTCCATTCTCACCTAAACCTTGATGGTTTTTCCACCCAAAAAGAAACAAGCATTTCCAAATTCCAACAACTTCACTCTGCATTACTACAACCTGTTCACGTCCAATAATGAACAATCTTTAGGACTCACCTAAGGCTAACTAGAAATAATGCCACCAACTTCACTCTCACAATCAACTACTCCAACAATCACCTTCTTCCTTCCCTTCCATGGCTCCCTTCGGCTTCCTATTTAAACAACCATCGCTCAACCTTGCTGTTCTCACTAAACCACCTAGAGCTCCTTACCTCAAACCTTTAGGAAAACTAAACAAAAATATGTCGATCACCTCGATGGTATCCTCTGTTTTCATTTCACTCATAGTTGCTGCAGCATACATGGCAGCTCAAGCCACTGCCGTATCGCCACTACCAGCACAAGGTGCTGCAGAAGACCCCGTTCTGGAGTTCTACATGCACGACATTCTCGGCGGAAGCAGCCCCACAGCCAGGCCGATCACCGGCTTGCTGGGGAACATCTACAGTGGTCAGGTGCCCTTCGCTAGGCCAGTTGGGTTCGTTCCTCCCAAAGGCGGAGTAGCCATCCCAAACGCCAACGGTGCCCTCCCGACTGTCAACATCAACGGCATCCCTCTGGGGACGGGCCTGGCTGGAACCCGGTATGCTGGAGGGCAAGCAAATGGTCAGAACCAGAACAATGTTAATCAGATACAGACGCAGCTGGGACCAGATGGGTTGGGACTCGGGTTCGGGACGATCACTGTCATCGATGATATTCTCACTTCCACCCCTGACTTTGGGTCACAGCAGCTTGGCAAGGCTCAGGGTGTTTATGTGGCAAGCTCTGCAGATGGCAGCACCCAGATGATGTCGTTTACCGCCATGTTCGAAGGTGGGGAGTTTGGTGACACCCTCAACTTCTATGGTGTGTACAAGATTGGCAGCCCCATGTCGTACTTGTCGGTCACCGGTGGAACGGGGAAGTTCAAGCACGCCATCGGGAGTGCCAATGTGAGAGGGCTCATACCTTCTGGACAACATGTCACAGATGGTGCTGAGACATTGCTGCGGGTCACTGTTCATCTCAAGTACTAAAACAAAACCCCCCCAAAAAAAAAAGGATCTTGCTTTGTTTTTCTTTTTGACTTTGTGAATGGATTGATGATGTTTTCAATTTGTTTGGTCGATGTTGTAAAATGGTTGTTGATTATATTTGGTTTGAGATTGTGGCTGTTACAAAGGCATGACCTTTCTAATACTTGACAAAGAAGTAATGCGATGTTGTGAAATGAAAAATATGGTTTGGAAATGAACTGAGAGCTGCTTTATTCATACATCATAGATGATGCTGTTTCATGCCAAGACTAATCTATGCAACTCTGTACACTACTATTAGTCACAAGACACATTACCGATATCACGAGCGCTCGCGTTTGCAGCCTTACAGATCGGTGATCCTAACTCGGGATAGCAAAGCAGCTTCATCGAGCCCGTACAAGGAATCGATCAAGTGCATCCGTAATGAAGCTGGACCTTTCGCCAAATCCATCCCGAGCTCACCTGCAATGCAGAACACAGAGAGGGCTGAAGCTGTTGCTTCCAAAGGATGTGATGGGTCGAGAGCAACAAAGGCTGCTATGAGTGCTGTGACTGCACACCCAGTAGCTGTGATCTTCTGCATCATGGGAACTCCATTATGAGCAGCAACAACTCGATTGCCATCGGTGACTACATCAACCGCTCCCGACACTGCAACAATGGATCCGCTCGCTCGAGCCAACGATTTGGCTGCTTCCAGTGCATCCATGGACCCATGGGCGCTGTCTACCCCCTTGATTGAACATGAAACACTCAATCATAACCAATACAATTTTATCAAAAGCATACAATTTTGTCATAACCAATACCAAGACAACCCAGCTAGACATTTCATCGAATACCTTGGAGACACCGAGAGAAGCCCTGGACAGAGCAATGATCTCAGACCCATTCCCTCGAATTACAGTAGGCTTCACCCCGACAAGCGCCAAACAAGCATTCAAGCGGAACCCAGAAGCGCCAGCAGCAACAGGGTCGAGAACCCAGGGCTTCCCCAACTTGACCATCAGCTCTGCAGCGGATTTCATGGCGGGAACCCAGGAGGGGGAGAGGGTTCCCACGTTGACGCAGAGCGCTTGGGCCTGAGGGGTGAAGTCGGGGATCTCGGCCAGAGAGTGGATCATCGCCGGGGATGCGCCGGCGGCGAGGAGGGTGTTGGCGACAATGTCCATGGAGACGAAATTGGTGATGCACTGGATCAGAGGGGAGCGCTGCCGGAGATCGGAGAGCAGGGACCAGGCTGTCGGACCCCAGTGGGGCGGATACTGGTCGGATTCGTCGCCGTCGTTGGGTTGCATGGCTGGAGAAGCCTCTGCCGTCTCCGTCGTCATCTGTCTTTCTTGTGGCTCGCGAATTGTCAGTAGCGTAAATTCATTGCTTGGTGGTGGATTGGAAGCAGAAAGGAAAGGGGAATTTAATCAATGGTAGCTGTTGTTTGTTTCCGCAACTCTGTCAGGCTATTCCGTTACTTTCCCTTTCCTTCAAGATGCTCCGTGCTTGAACAAATCTCAAACCATTTTAGGGTGCTTATATTTATAGGGTTCTTGCCTCTTGGTGAAATGAAATGGTTCTCCTACATCAAGATGTTCTTTTAGAGTAAATAAAGTTTTTAGGCAAGCATTTCACGGCCAATAGAAAAGAGCCACATCTATCAAAATACAAAAAATTAATCATTTGTAAACTTTTTCACTCCATTTGGCAAGTAAGGGGGTGCAAATTCGAGGGGTACAAATTGGGGTGTTAATTATAGGTGGGTGCAAATTCGGGGGTACAAATTGGAGTGCAAATTGGTGTTTGGAAGAAAAAGTAAGGGGGTGCAAATTTTAATATAATAACTATTTTTATAAAAAATAATAAATAACAAATGGCCCCACCATCCCTTCCCCTTCCTTATGCAATCGCCACCTCATTCCATTTTCCTTTTCTTTCTTCTCCTTTCTTTCTGACTCGGCCCCACTCCCCTACCCACTTCCTTTCTCTTTCTTCCCCTTTCCTTCCCGCTGGACCCCACAACCTCCTCCTTCTCCCTTCCCTTCCCTTGCACCCAAAATTGGGGGGCTTGTGGAAATAGTAAAAATGCACCCACTTTATCAGCCCCCACCCCTGTTCAAAACTATCCAAACGGGGGTTTATTTCTCGAGATTCCAATTTGCTCCTCAATTTTGCTCCCCCCTGCACTTACCCCAACTTTCCAAACAGAGTGTTTGTGTAATCTTCATTAGTTGTTCTTATGTGGTTATTGCAACATTTAGAATATTTTCTTCATAAGATATTGTCCGATGTGATTATAGACCCTCAAGGTTTTTTATTTGAAGTGCATTTCAAGGTAACTTTCCATAACCGTAAGGTCACTCATCATTGTAGTGCTCCACAATGAGCACATTTTAACTTTCGAGTTCTTACAAGAACACTTATATTTCACCCCAAAACACGTCTTGTCAACTAAGAGCTGTTTCTTACTTGTGAACTATGAATTTTTCTTGTGCTTTGTTGATGTGAGATTTTCCTAAAATAACAATATGACTAAGGTGTCGTTACATGTCACCTTGCAATCTTTTACTATATTAATTATATATAAAAATAAATAAATAAAATTTACGCTATGGTCGAGTTGTCGCTACAGGAACTCCAAATCACTCCCCTTTAACAAAAACCAATTAATTCCAACTCTCATTCGCAAACTTGCTTAAAACCACAAATTTCTTTTTATAGCGAAAACCCCACTTCAAGAACTATTGAATTCCAACTCAATCGAACTCTCATTCACAAACTCATTTCAAACCACAAAAACCCAATTCAACCAAAATCAACTTTTGTTCACAAACTCATGGAGTAAAAAAACGTAATGTCTTTTTTTATCCAAACCTTTTCTAGATTCTTTTATATTATCCAAATTTATCGAAATACTAAAAATTAGTCAAATGTTAACTTCCAATTAGCAATTTTGTTGGTAATGTTGGCTTGGCAACATGATATTGACCTGCAAGAGACTCACGAAGGTCAACATTCCAAAATTTTAATATTTTAACTAAGAAAAGAGTTACAAAATTATTAACGATAACGTAAAAATGACTAATATTTTGATGCATTATGAAATATTTGGATAATTAATAGAATTTTAATAGGTTTGGATAATATAAAAGAATTTGATTCTTTTTGGATAAGTAATAAAAATTACCAAAAAAACATTCTTTGCCCATAAAACTCCTTGTAACATCCCGAACCTTTTCCCGACGAAGATATTGTCCGCTTTGGGCCTCGACCCTCACGGTTTTTGACTTGGGGTGCAATTCAAGGTGACTTCCCATAAGGTCACCCATCCTTGTTGTACTCCACACTGAGCACGTTTAACTTCAGAGTTCTCACAAGAACTCCTTCATTTCACCCCAAAACTCGTATTGTCAGTTAAGACCAGTTTCCTACTTATTAACCATGGATCTCTCCCGTGCTTTGTCGATGTGGGATTTGCCTAAAGTGTTTATATGACATATTATATGTGATACTTGTATTTGATTCTATAAGCCGCGAGATTTACCTCTAGAGACCAATAATTCCACTTACCGAGAAAAATAACATTTATGGCCCTTGAGTTTAGTTATAGAGAATTAGAGATCAATAGAATAATCGTCTCTAATTATTTTCCTTTTATAGGTTGGTTTTATTATAGTGATTCGCATAGAGAGCTTGTTGGACATGACAATTTTTGCACTTAGTGATGAGGACATCAATGGGCCAGTCACACGTGCTAAGGCAAGGACGTTGAAGGAGAAGCTTGCGACATATTTGGATAGCTACTTTGGAGCCATGGATGTGGAGCTATTTCGAAGGAAGCCATATATGATGATTCGAGTGGAGGAAGAAGGAGGAAGTGCTGAGGAGAAGGCAGATTGCAAGAAGCAGCCTTAACGGGTTTGCTTAACGGGTCCAGCCTTAACGGGTTTACTTAACGGGTCCAGGCTTAACGGTTTGGGCTTAACGGGTTTGCTGGGCTGTTTCCGAGTTTCCTTGTTTTAAAGTCGGTTTATGATTGTTTTTCCATGTTGGAGTCGGATTTGGGTTGTATTTTGCCTATTTAAAGGGCTGAACACGTTGGTTTTACCCTTAGACGATTATTATTGAATTTCAGAGGCTAAAGCCGAGTTCCCTACGCGGAATTTGCCCTAATTACTCTGTCGAGAATCTCCAGAGTGCTAGAGCGACTCTTATCAGCTAGGTAATCACCCTGGTTGTGGCGAGCTACCCATATCGATTGCCCTTTATTCCGAGTTGAATCTGTCCGATCGATTCATATATCGATTGCCCTTATTCACGGGTGAGTACTGTCCGATCGATTTCCATACTATCTGGTTCTGTTTGGTTCGAGAAGCTTGACCCTGCGCAACTTTGATTATATCAAGTGGTATCAGAGCTAAGGTTCAAATCAGTGGCGTGTTCTTGAAGTTTTTTTGAAGATCTTGTGCGTTCTTGTTTGTGTTCTTGGTGGTTTTGTGCGAGTTCTTGAAGGTCTTGGCGTGTTCTTGAGCCGCAAGACAGGAGGTTGTTTGTTCTTGGGAGTTCTTGGTGTTTCTTGCGAGGCAATAAAGCAGGTTGTGCGAGTTCTTGTGTTCTTGGAGTTTTCTTGCATCGCAAACATGGAAGCAGCACTCGAAGCGATCAGAAATCAATTGGAGAACATTGCTCGTGCTCAAGAAGAGCAAACCGCAAGGCTTGCCGAGCAAGCCACGAGGATGGAGGCTGTCGAGACAAGGCTCCAGCAGCCGGTTGTGGTCGATGCAAACCCTAACCCTAGACCTCGACAAGAAGAAAGGGGAAGGGAAAACCGAGCTCCTCCGCCCTTGGTTCACGAAGTACAGCGTCATATGCGCCAGCATAGACGCCTTGGAATGCCTCGAGCTGAAAGGAGAGGGCGGCAACAACATCATGAAGAGGAGTTTAATGACGAGGAAGAAGAGGGCTTTGAGGAGGATGATGATTTGCGAAACCTCAAGGTCACGATTCCACCTTTTCGCGGTACCACGAACCCTGATGCTTATTTGGATTGGGAGCGAAAGATGGAACTAGTGTTTGATTGTCATAACTACTCCGAGAAGAAGAAAGTGACATTGGCTGCCCTAGAGTTCTCGGATTATGCACTTGTTTGGTGGGATCAGTTGGGAACTAAACGAAGGAGAAACAGGCAGCTTCCTATTGAGACGTGGGATGAGATGAAAGGAATTATGAGGGATCGGTTTGTACTGAGTTCCCATTTGCGAGATATGTATCAAAATCTCCAGCTTCTCCGGCAAGGAACTAAAAGCGTTGAAGATTATCACAAGGAGTTGGAAGTGTTGATGATACGTGCTGATGTGAGAGAGGACCGCGAGGCTACCATAGCTCGTTTTCTGTATGGTCTCAATCGAGAGATCAAGAACGTGGTGAAGATACAACCGTTCCTTGAACTTGAAGATTTGGTGGATATGGCAAGTAAAGTGGAACGACAGCTTCGAAATAGGAGGTTTCAACCCTCCATGAATTCCACACGTTCGAGCCAAGGAGTTGCAACCAACCCTAAGCCGCAACTGCCCGTGAAAGAAGCTCCTAGACCCGCGGCAAGGGCTGATGGTGCAAATCCAGTTATGAAGCAAGGTGGATCGTCGGGGGAAATTCGTTGTTTCAAATGCCATGGAAGAGGACACATTGCAAGCCAGTGTGCCAATAACAAGACCCTGATCTTGCTTGATAATGGTGAGTATGTATCGGAGGAAGAGGAAGAGACCGCCGATTCTGATGTCGATGAGTCTATGGAAATGGAACCACCTCCAGGCAGCTTGTTTGTAGCACGGAGAGTATTGTCTGTGCAGCCTAAGGAGGAGAGTGAACAGAGAGAAAATATCTTCCATACGAGATGTGTAGTTGATGGGAAGTTGCTGTCTCTAGTGATCGATGGAGGAAGTTGCACGAACGTTGTGAGCGCGTGTGCGGTGAAGAGGCTAGGGCTGCCTACGTTGAAGCATCCAAAGCCATACACGCTGCAATGGCTTAACGATCACGGATCCATCAAAGTCACAAAGCAGGCACTAATGAAGTTCGAGATTGGAGATTACAAAGATGAGATTTTGTGTGATATAGTGCCTATGCAAGCTGCACATTTGCTTTTTGGCAGGCCATGGCAATTTGATCGACAAGCACAGCATGATGGAGTGACAAATAAGTACAAGTTGCAACATGGAGGAAAGAAGTTTGTGTTGAAGCCTCTGTCTCCAAGTGAAGTATATCGAGATCAACTCCAAATGCAGCAACGTCGAGAGCAAGAAAAGGCAAGTAATGCCTCGGCCAAGAAAGGAGAAGAGGGAGCTGGAATTGTGGATTCGAAGGTAGTGATGCTAGCACGCAATGGAGATTTGAAGCAAGCTGCCTGTGCACGAGAACCTTTGATTGTGCTCATGTACAGGGACGTGCTGCTCAATCAAGAGCTAGTCCAAGAAGTTCCAGCCGAAGCAAGAGTGGTGTTGGATGAGTTCGAGGATGTGTTTCCAGAGGAAGCACCGAAGGGGCTGCCTCCTATTCGCGGAATTGAGCACCAAATT